GCGAAACTTTTCGACTGTCGGACTATAAATACCAAAAATATTTCGAGCAGCAGCAGCAGCAGCAGGAGCAGCAGCAGGAGCAGCAGCAGGAGAAGCAGCAGGAGCAGCAGCAGCAGGAGCAGCAGCAGCAGCAGCAGGAGCAGCAGTTGCCATAGCCCCCGCACACAGCCCACTAAGCACCTAACTACCCTCCTCCTCTTCTTCTTCTTCTTCTACTTCCAGTTGTAGCACACCCCCAACTATTGAAAAACTTTGTTGCGTTTCTGTTGCAATTCGCATTCGCAAAGTTTTTGCTTGTTTGCAACTTGTTTCTGGTTTCTTGAGCCGCATCAAGCCGCCCCCCAAACCAGCCCCAAGACTTGGGGGCTCTTCGCTGCCAACTACTAGCTAGCTGTCTAACGATCCCTCTCGCCCTCTCTCTTTCTAGCCAACTGCGCATGTCATCAAATATGAGCAGAACTATGCATTTCAAGTAATGCCAGGACATGCCGCTAAAAGTTTAGCGCAAAATAAGAAAAGAAGCGAATAGAAGAAAAAGAAATTGTTGTGCATCAAGGATTTTGCTTTATGCCATTTGAAGTTGCAATTTATGAGCGGAATGCAGAGTGTTGTTGCATGCAACGGCAGCGCAGCTGAGTCTGGCTAAGTGTGGCAACAACTTGCTGTCAGTGTCTCTCTTCTCTTCGAAGAATTCTAATAACAAGTTGACACTCAAATTATTCGACTACAAATTATATATATGAAAAAGTTTTAAAAGTGAAACTGAAAAGTCTCTATTTGAAATGAGGGCAATATGGTTAAAATAAATTTACAATCCATCTATAATAATCTTGATGTACTTTTTTCGGATATAAGATATTTAATATATTTCTGTTTCTGTACTGTTCTTTTTAATATTACATTCATTAATATATGTATTATATCCTAATTATTAAAAATCTCTGTAGATATCATATAATGTATATCTTTCGGTTATTCTCTCCTTATAAATATGAAATTGGATATATTTATTTAAATTTAATATTCTTTCTGAATTATTTATATTTTATATTTTAATAATATTTAATATTTAATATTTCACATTTTTTATTTTATATTTTATATTCTACATTTTATATTCTATATTTTATATTTTATATTTTATAAATTTTATATTTTATATATTTCATATTTAATATTCAATATTTTTTTTTTATATTTTATATTTTATAATTTATAATTTATCTTTTATATTTTATATTTTATATTTTATATTTTATATTTTATATTTTATATTTTATA